CTCAGCCTCTGAAATGTTAAGTTCTGCGATACATGAACCCCAGTGGCTCATTCGATTTAGTTTTCCCATACCCAGGGGTAAGACAGACATGGAGTGCTCAGTGAGTACTGGGAGAAGGAACAGGTGGGTGCTGGCAGGACTCCGGCAGGCTTGGGTATTGGGAAGGCCTGGTGATGGGGCCCCTGAGAGCTCAAAGAGTGTGCAGCGAGGCTGGGAGGCAGAGAGGTGACCTTGAGGCCTGATCCAGGCACTGTCACCTTGCATTCCTCATGGGAGTGGACTGGCTCACGCTCCCTGAGCTGCCTCCTTTCTCTAAGGTGCAGGACTCCTCTCTCGGGAGCCCCTCCCTGTCCCTGCAGTGGCCAGTGCCGTTTTCCAGAGTCCATGCCTCTCCTGGGTGCCTGGAGACCTGGTGGCCACTGCCCTTCTCATGCCTGTTCTGGACTGGGTTGATGCAAGGCTGACAAGACCTCAGTCAGCAATCTTCCCCAGGAGTGGGTGGAGGTGCGTGTGGTTGGTAGAAGCTGCATTGGTGATGGTGGGTGGGGCTGGCTAGTATGTACAGGGAGCTTGCTTGGAGGCCCTGGGACAAAGTCCAGAGCTATGTGGGAGCCAAGGGATTCCAGAGGGGCTCACCAAGGGATTCCAGAGGGGCTCACCAAGGGATTCCAGAGGGGCCCAGTGCGGGAAGCTCTAGCTCTGTTCGTTGTCTACCTTCTTGGGGAATTGTCTCTTCCTGTGCAGCAGCAGCAGACAGTTGTTTGTTTTTGGGGGGCTGGGCTGGGTAGATTGGGTAGGGTGGCATTACAAGGTAAGTTTCTTGCAGGGAGAAAAGGACTTTGTGGGAGAAGTGGGCCCCATTCCTGGGGAGTGGCAGGAGGGCTGCAGCTTGTGCTTCCCTCCATTGCTCTGCCTCCAGCCCCCACCACAAGCACATCTGGACAGGAGCTTCAGGAAGAGGAGGCTGAGAGTTAACCTTTTCAGCCAACTGGGAGCAGGGGTGGTAGCCAAGAGCTGTGATCCCTCGGGAACACTGCCTTCAGACGGCATCACTGATTTCAGGTGTGAGGAGCCAGCCGCTGACAGGGAGCTTCAACTCTCTCTGATGGTTCAGTCCCATCAGGGGCTATGGGAACAGAAGCCAGCAATGTAGCAGTGGAAGGTGCAGAGGCGCTCTGAGGGCTTGTGTCCTCCATGTGTGCATGTTCGTGTGTACTTGTGGCTCCTAAGGCACTTGCCACCTGCCCATGGCATCTCCTATTCCCTGAAGAAACGTTTTAGGTAGAGGGAACTCAGGGAAGGGACTGAAGGTGACTTTTCCCCCAGTCTGAGAGGACTGACCATGCTGTCATGAGGCATAAGGTCCCTGGGGCCACATGGGTGGCCCTACCAGACCCATGGACTCATGCCAGTCCTCATGGGGCACGTGCAGCAAGGTATGCTCTGTGGACATGGCCAGTCTCTGCCATTTTAAAGACTTATATTGGCCTTAGAAGGTTCTAGAAGGAGCAGAAGCTTGTAGATGACAGGTCTCAGGGTCCTACCTTCATGCCCGTCCTATAGCTGTGCTCAGATCTGGGTTACAGCCAAGGCCATGGGCAGGGAGAACCACTGGTTTCCTAAGGAGGGGACAGGGCTACAGAAGCTGCCTGTAGACACGTGGCCTTGCCCTGGGGCTGCCTAGCACTCAGCCCTGTGCAGACAGTGCCTCAGCCTAGCCATGACAGGGTGACTTTTTAAGGTAAAAGTGTTGCTCTTTCACTTAACATTTTCATAAGCTATACCAGATACAATACATCCAATGACCTTGGTCTATCAGTTTGTTATTGCTGGGAAACAAACTGTCCCAAAACTTAGTGGCTTAGAACAGCAGTCATTTATTATTTTTTATGAGTCTATAGGTCAACCCGGCAGTTCTGCTGTGGGCTCACTCGTGCGTCTGAGTTCGGCTGGCTTGCGGCTGGGGATGGCTGCCTGGGAGCCTGCCTGATTCTCCTCTGTGTGTCTTACATTCCTCCAGCAGCTGGCGTGGGGTTGTTCTTGTGGTGGTGTGGTCCAAGAGTAGAATTGGAAATACTCAAACACTTATTCAAACCTCTGTTTGCATCAAGTTTACTACTGCCCCACAGTCCATGCAGGTCACTTGGCCACGGCTGGAGCTTGAGTCCTCACAGTGAGAGAAGAAAATACCTGGGATTGGGAGCCTTTGCCAGGGGCCTGAAGGCAGCTAGTCCCCCATATTTAGAAATATCATTTGCACCACACTGGTTAAAGCTGGTTTCTCCAGGCAGTACCAGGCAATAGGACTTTCTGTGATGATCCATCTCATATGATCTATATCTGTGCTGTCCAACATGGTAGTCACCAGCCAGATGTGGCTGTTGAGAACTTGAAATGTGGCTAGTGAACCTGAGGAGCTGAGTATGTAATTGTGTTTCTCTTCAATTAATTGAATTTTTAATAGCCATAGATGGCTGGAGATTGTGATGTGTACAGCCCAGATCCAGGGGGAAAACCCTCAGTGGCACCCATGGAAAGCTGTTATGTCTCCAGCATAGCAGCCCACTGCTGGTTTTGGTGTGGGTGGCTGCTGGGTGCTGAGATGTCCTCCAGCTTATGATGGGCAGATTTGCACTGTGCTGTGCCCCAGAGAGGGCAGGCCTAGGGCTGACATCAGCACTGGTGGTGTTGGTTGTGTCTCCTGAACCATCTCTGCACACTTGCCCTGTCCCTCCCTCTGATGGGTTAAGAAGAGGTCTTTATCTTCCTCACCTTTTCTTTCAAGAAGCTTTGGAGCTACAGATCCTCAGGACCCTGACTAAGCTAATGGAGAATGAATTGCTTCTCTGGGAACCCCCAGGGTGTTGACAGCCTGGGGCTTGTGTGTTGGAGGCCTGGAGCCCTTAGGCAAGTATAAGGCACTGTGTCGTCCTCAGTCGGCTACCTCTCCTCACTTTGGGGGAGCCCTGTGCTGGCCACCTCATCCCAGCCCTGGGTCTGGCTCTCCTTCCTGTCTGACACAGTGGGCAGAGCAACACTGAGACCCCTGTGCTTTGCAAAGCCAGCGGGTTTGTGCACATGGCTGTGCTCCAGGGACCAGGTTGCTGATGGACAAGGGGCAGCTGAGGCCATGGCTGGACGGTCATGCATTTGCCATCTCTAGAGGGCTCCCAGCATTCTCATTTAGAAGCTGCTGTGCCCTCCCCATGCACCACCAGGAGGTGGGCTCCCTGGACTCCCAGGTACAGGCTCCTGAGACACAAGCAGGTGGCCTGCACAGGAAGTGTGGCTCCTCAGAGTCCCAAAATGGTAGTTGGTGATTTTCATCCCGTTTTACAGAGAGCCCCTCAAGCTCAAAGGGGATGGTGATTTCCTGAGGGCTTCAGGGACTGTACTGAGCCCTAAGTGTTAGAGTTCCTGGCAGGTGCTTAGGTCCTAGTCCAGGGCTTTTCCCCTGTGGTGGGAAGGGGGCCCTGTGTACAGCCCCCAGCACCCTCATCACCACAGCCATGGTGCTCTGGTCTCCTCCCTTGCACTGTTTGGCTCCCTGTGATGGCTGCTGTCACACAGTCCAGCTGGTACTGTGCTTAGTGGTGAGCCTGTCCTCTCGGTACAGTGGGCAACCTGGGGCTCCTTTAGCAGCTTGCATGGCACTTGGCATGAGTGTAGATCAGAAAGTGTGCGAAATGAGCGCAGAGAGAGTTTTGGAGAGGAATTGGTTAGGAACGAAATCTAGTCGAACTAACACTGTTTATTTGGATTTTGATCTTGGTCACTGCATGGGCCGGGCCGTGCCCGTGGGCCTCCCAGGGCATGGGGACAGTGCAGCTTGTGGATCTGGGCAGACCTAGAGTGTCCTTTGGAGGGTGCAACTCAGGCGCGGGTCTTGTTTATGGGAGGTGAAATGCAAGGATGGGCCAGATGCAAGAAACATCCCTGGCTTTGAAAAAGCGGCCTGTGGATTGAGAGTCTGGGCTGCATGTGACCCACCTTAGGCAAGTGAAGGCATTCACTGGCTCATGGAACTGGAAAATTTGGGAGAAACAGGCTTCAGCCTCACATGGACCCAGGGGCTGAAATGACGTGGTCAGGACTGTGTCTCACTCTCAGACCTGCCTGCCTCTGTTCCTGGACATGCCTCTTGTTGGGAAAGCCAAATGGCTTGTACAAGGCTGCTGCTAAGAGATGATTTTGGGGCGGGTTAAAAAAAAATGTAGCACCATCAGCCCACACAAGGAGAGATTTGTAGCAATGTGCAGTGCGATTATATTGGGTTCCAGGTCCCTTCTTGTTGAATCTTCCATCCCTGGGTAGTTTGTCCCACCAGGCCTCTCTCCCAGTGATCACCACGTGCCAGGATGGACTCTCTTTGTACTTCCTCCAATCCCCTGCTCATCCCTGATTCCGTCAGGATGTGGACTTCTGATTGGACTTGGAGTGAGAGTCACTCCAGCTGGAAAGAGGCAGGAGGAATGTTTCATCAGGTCCCTGAGGCCAGATGGGGTCCCACGCCTCAGGGCTGGGGTGCCGTGGTGCAGGCTGCACAATCACAGGATTGGTGCAGGGAGTGAGGGTCCAGTCAGGGGCCTCAGCTGGCCATGGTTGTTCAAGGACCCTCATGTGGGGAGCAGAGGGAGGTGGAGGGGACTGGGGATGCCAGGGCCAGGGACCACCAGCACACGTGACCTGAAGACCAGGATTGCCATGACTGGGCCCATATAGGGAGCTTGTTGTGAATCAAGGGCACTTTCTGGCCAAAGGACCTGTTGGATGGCATCTAACCTGTGGGAAGAGATGGTTGGCCGGGGCTGCACACTGGTGAGCACTGCTGGGTCCACATTGTTGTCCTCAAACCCCTGTTTAGGGGGTCACTGAAGCAGACTTGGACGCTTGTTTTTCCTGGTGGCTTGCAGGGGTGGGACGTGTTGGCATTAGACACCCTCTACAGTGCATTCCCACAAAAGATGATTTTCTTCTCCTCCTCTTCTCCCACTGCTCAGATATCCGTGGGCTTCAAAGCTTTCTGGACCAGGCCTCGCGGCTGGGCCTTGATGTCTCTTTACAAAAGGTGGACAAGAACATTAGCCATGTATTCACCAGCCTCTTCACCACGATGAAGACGGAGGAGCTGAATCGCTACCGAGACACGCTGCGCCGCGCCATCCTGCTGCTCAGCCCACAGGGAGCCCACTCCTTCATCAATGAGGTAGGTCATGGGGGCCTAAGGCCTCAGGGACCTGGTGCCCAGGGCTCTGCGGAAGATGGCTCAGGTGGGCTGCAGGGCGCGGTCCTCTTACGCATGGGCAAAACGGACGTGGAGACCCGTAGGTACGCGGCCCACAGCACACAGCCTTTAAGAGGGGATTCTCTGAGCATTACCTGGCTCCTGGATATTCCCTGACAGGTGACTCAAGGTCTGCTCAGACTCTGAGAAGCTGTGAGGAGGCTGGTGGGAAGCCTGTTTACAAGTTACTGACAGAGATTTCTAAGCTAAATTCAGGCCTTTTTTTTTTTTCTTTTTAATTTTCCTCTCTTTGTTGACAGGTGTAAGCCTCTAGGGATAAAATAAATTTTGAGCTTTCTGCAGAGATGTGTAGGTCTGCCTTGAGATTTCTTAGCACCTGGAGGAGGTGGCTTTGCCTGTTGCTGAAGGATACATTAGATGTGCTGATTTTTTTTGGTGCTTGGGCTGATCAATATGTTTCTTTTAAAAACATCTCTATTAGAGGTTGCGGCCTTCTAATGAAGACAGGGCCCACCAGTTTAAGAAGCCATTAGTTAGTGAAGAATCCATTCATTTGTGGGGAATCCATTAATTTGAGAACAAACAAGAAACAACCTATGAGTGGGCTGATTGGCGCCGGCCAGGGTAGTCTAATGGCAGAGAGGTGATGGGCTGGAGTTGGCAGGTCTCCTCCTGGCCTGGGTTGGTTTTGGTGGGTGAGCTGGGGATGTGGTGTGCCTTGGAGCAGTCGCAGATTGAATGGGTCATGGGGTGTGACCAAGGGCTCTCTGCAGATTCTCCAGACCACCCCAGTCGCTGTGTTGGCCCTCGCTGATTGAAAGTAAAATGGAGAGAAATATGGCATGATACTAATGCCATTTGAGGTACTTTGCTTATGCTGCTTTTCCCTCTAATTAATTATTACTCAGAATGCTACCTCATGTATCAGGAGCCAGCCCAAAGCCCACTGCTGGGGAACTTAAAATTTGGAATGCTTAATGTGGTACCATTGGCCGGCAGCCCTGATGCTCTCTGCTCATCAGGTCCCGAATCACGCCAGTGGTCAGCCAGGCTGTGATGTCCCATTGGCTCCCGGCATTTTCACTGGAACATGTTGCCCTGCATGAAGTGATTCAGCCCAGTAATAGGCAGCCTGGGATTAGCAGCACTAACATGTCCGTTCTTTCTCAGAATGTACCCAGCGGTGCGTTTGCAGAAGCCTGTTCAGGGGACGGCTCTTCTTGCAGGCTTTCCCAGCTGGAGTCTGTACTGGCAATGGTGTCTGCTAATCTCATCACCGGCCCCCTCCCTTCCTGCTTCTTGCCAATTCCTTGCCCCCTCCCCTTGCTTCCTTTCCTCCTCGCTCTGCTGTGAAGCTTGGGAGTGGAAAGACTATTGGTTTTGGAGTTGAATGGATTTGGGGGCAAGTCCCAGCTCCCTGACTTATTATTTGTGTGACCTTGGGCCGTTTGCATCACTGTCTTAGCCTCCATTTCTTTATCTGTTAAAAGGGATGAAGGCGACAGCTGTGATAAAGCATTTACCATATAGCTTCTCAAGAAGCATCTGTTTTTTCTTCACTGCACATATTCATGCGTTTACCTTTTAGAGGATTTTAGCCCCTTCCTGTTTCTAGCCCGGTGAGGATTTAGCACATAACTAAGACTGGCCTAAGAGTGTTATTTCCAAGTGGTTAATTATGCAGACACCTGCAGTGGTGGATATGCTGGGCTTGCTTTGTCCTGCTTGTATTACTGAGTATGGTGGGGCTGGGGATGCCTCTGGAGCGGCCACTGGATTTTCTTTTTATCAGGTTATTATTTTATTTTTAAATTTCAACTTTTATTTTAGATACAGGGTCTACATGTGCAGATTTGTCACATGGGAATCTTGTGTGATGCTGAGGTTTGGAATATGGGTCCCCTTACCCAGGTGGTAAGCATAGTATCCTATAGGTCATTTCTAAACCCTCCACCCTCTAGCATGCTACAGGGTCTTTTGTCCCACAAGCCCCTGGGAGTGTTGGCAGGAGATTGAGGGGAAGGATGGCATTTGGACTTTGGGCCAACAGCTCCCACCATAGTCTTCGATCTCTGCTGATAAGAGTCTTGTTCTCTGTTCCCATGTGCCTGCTATTGGGAGGGAGGAAGCTGAGGTTTCCTGGGTGCCCACGATGACTCTGGCCTTTTGTGCATTTGCTAATCCTCACACTTTGCAGACAGAGGAAACTGAAAAGCTAAAGATGTTAAATGACTTACTTAAGATCATACAAATAGCCACTAGGGCATTGAACAGGATTTGAGTCCAGATTTTACTCCCTCCAGAGCCCCTCTTTTCTATCTGCGATGATTCCAGGAACACAGTGTACAGCACTGCACTTGCTGGAGTGGGGAAATAGGGCCGTGCTGACTTCACGGGGAGAGCTTTGGTTCCACTGTCTCTGGCCAGGGTTTGGCAGAGGTTCTTAGGGTGCTTATGCGCAAAGCATTTTAATGTATCTCCTAAGTGTGCTGGGGAAGAAATGTGGATTCTGGAGTAAACATGTGTTCCTAGGGGACCAGCTAGCCCAGCAGGTCCCCTAGGAACACCTGGGAATGCTGTCCCTGCACAAAGCCTTCCTCACCGCCTGGAGGCATTGCTTGGGCTTCTTGAGCAGACCGACCCAACCTCCTCTTTGTTGTTACAAGGACAAATGATATTCACAAGGGTGACACACTGCCAGAACATGTCCTGAATTTTATGAAGCCCAAGACACAGCTAAGGAGGAGTAAATGTCCCCTCAGCACCCCCTACACATCCATTCATGTCAACATTATGCTCCACCCTGGGTGGTATAGATGAGCTACAGTTGGCGTGGGCCATGTGGATTTCCGAGTTGTAAGTTCTCGCCTTTTCTACTCAAACAGCCTCATCAAATGGGAGTGAGTGAGGAAGTCAGAGCTGCTTGAGTCTTTTACATTTTGCAAAATGTCAATCATTCACTGCAGGTGGCTCTTGGCCTGGGGGCACATGGCACCACTAGCATCTCTGGGATTCCACTTCACGAGGGGCTGTGCTGGTGGGGCCTGCAGGTTCTGCGAGTTGGCCTTGGCAGTGAGTGGGTGAGCGGAGGAGTTGTGGCAGGCCAAGGTGCTGAGGCCTGCCTGGGGACACTGTGGGCTTGTGTGTCAGGCCCCACCTAGAGACCCCTCACATCCCTCGCCCAGTCTTTATTCTAATTCCATCCTCTGAGGTCTCCTCATCACCATCTTTATAGCCACCACACCATTGCATCATCTTAAAAAGGTGTGGAGAGGTTCGCCTTGGGGAGGATGGGCCTGAGGGTGACAGGACTCAGGTGTCTGGGTCCCGGGCCTGGTGCCACCTTGAGGCTACTCTAGGGGATGCCAAGGGTACAGGCCATGGAGGGTCCCTTCCTCCAGGGGGGTCTGTTCTGGCCTTTGCTTGGCCTTGGAGCCCTCTATGTGAGTGTGTGTGATGCTTTACAGTAGTACCGTAACAGGGAATGGATTGGACTCATTATGTCCTCAGCTGGGCCTTGGCTCTTCTCTGGGCCATTGGCTGCTAAGTGAGGCTTCAGTGCACAATGACAGCGAACTCTGATGTCCCTCATGCAAGCCTGTTAGCTGCCTCACCAGCTGGGGATCATGACCCATGGAATTGCTGAAGTGACCAAGGCAGCAGCTGCTAAGAGGCGCCTTGCTCTGGGAATCCTGCTGGTGGCTGCTGGAGCTTTCTCTCTTCTGCTCATGGCTCTTCCTTCACTTCTCCAGCATTTGGAGAAGTGACAGGAAGAGCCATGAGCAGAAGAGGTTCAGCATACTGAACCTCAGCCAATGACAAGTTCTGTGTGGGCATGGAGGCTGTTGTTCCTGCTCTCACAGGGCTCCCAGCTTGGTGGGGAGGACTGAGGTGTGAACAGACCCTTTTACCTGAAATGGCAGAGGTAGGCCAGGCCATCTAAGAGCCCAGAGGACAGAGCAATGCTCTCTGCCCAAAGAGAGATGGGGTCGTCAGAGGGTCAGAAAAGCTTCCTGGACTAGGTGACTCTAGGGCTGGGTCTGTTAGGAATGAACTTGTACTAAGCCTGCGGACAGGGAAGGGCTGGGGAGAGGGGTCGGGAGATCCCTAATGTATTCAGGAACTTGTATGCTTTGCAGTTGCAGTCATGGGTGTGCAGGGGAGCTGAGGCTGGACGTCAGCAGGGAGGGCTCCCTTGTCTGGTGCAGGCAATCCAGACTTCAGAACTAGTGTATTCTTTGGGTGTTTTTCAGGGCATTAGAGGTTAACACCCTACAGTTTACATGTCTTATTGTTCTTATTCTTCTCCAGGTCAGGCTTGATGGGGAGAACTCCAGTCCATAGTCATTTGGCTCTGGGCTTCATTTCAACTTCCTGGAGGGATTCTGTTCATCTATTCATCTGTTGTCCATCTCTCTGTCCATTCCTCCGTTCATCTGTCCATCTACTCATCCATCCATCCAATTATCTACTCACCCAGCAAGTACCAATTGGGGGCCTCCTATGGATGAGGAACTCTCTCAAATGCTGGGGGCATGGAATTCAGGGGCAGTGCCTCCTCCTCTCTGGGACTGGCTGTGATATGGAAAGCCATGCTACACACCATGCCACAGTGGCTGGCAGAGCAGCTGTGCCCCAGGGCTGTCATCCACTGAGGCCTGTCTCAGTGTCTGTGGGCATTTTGGGGACTCCAGGGCTTTGTCCTTTCACCTCTCATTTATTGGTTCTGTGCCACTGTCTCTTTCCTCCTTTTGTTTCCTCTGTATTTCCTCCTTTCCCTTCTAGCCTTTTGTATCACTGGAAAGAGTGGAAAAATTAAACTGTTTTAAACAATTTGTATACTTTATGGAGAAGAGTTGCTGCTCCTTGCTTCTAGTTCACAAGGAGACAGGGGCAGCCTGCCCAGCCCTGATGCCCAGGCACCATCCATTTCTGTCTGTCCTGCAAATGTTGGACAGTCT